GTCAACAGGGTACTATTTTTTCAATTCTGGTACATTTACTTCATCCCGCATACAAACAAAGAAAGCAAAGAAAAACAGAGCCTAAAGTAAACTGTCACGACTCAACAGAAAGGGCAACACGAAGTTCGGAACTGCGATTGTGATCCTGAAACCACCAGTTCAATGACTTGGACAAGAACATTACCAAAAGCACACCAAACTTGTATGCGCTTGGTTACAAGACCGGGGAGGGGGGGGACCATTCGAGAGAGGGCTTTATTTTTTCACTGGCTCTTAGAGACTGGGGCACTATTCAAGATAGGGCACTATTAGAGAGAGAGGTCTCTAATCGCGCGAGTACGATATTGTGATCTGCGCTAGTGCTGAAACAAATATCGCCAATATTCGAACATTCATTCATCTAGCTTCGCAGAATGAACATTCGTTGGATGACGAGTACTCGAACTGAAATTTTTCAAGTTTGCTGCCCATGTGCAAGGCAGACCAGAGGCATGATGGTAGTCAGGGAGTCTTAAAATATTTGACAACTCCCTGGTACTAGTCTGTACAAGTGCAACATTCGTGCTTCAGCGCTGTTTTGCGAAGGGTAGAAGCTACACACACCGCACAAGTAAGTCGTGCCTCGAGTCCTCGACTCGGTGTAACTGATCACAGGAAATGAACCCCCACGGACTTGTCACGTGCAGTTTTGCAGTGCTGTTGCAACCAGGATTGCAGTTCTGTTCCAACCTGGATTCAACACAGGCGCTAGACACCAACACGGGAGTCTCAGTACCACGAGTCGTCAATAAAGAATATTCGTTTCTTCAATCGTTAGTGTCAAAAAAGTTCGATTACTGAGAAATTGTGTTTGTTTCAGCCCTAATCTGCGTACTCCCAATAACGTATATTTTAATAGGAACAGGGGTGTTGGAACCGGTGCGGCTGGTCCGGCCAAAATCACACCAATAATTTCATCTTGTGACTTTTGAAGCAATGAAATTATGGGTTATTTCGGCCAATTTACCTAACATTTTTTACGGGGGAGTACCCCGGACCTCACCAATGTCGAATACCTTCCGATGCCCCTGAGGAAAATGCCACAGATCTGGCTCATGACATCACTATAATTTGCAATAGCAAAATATTTCCATTGAAACTGGCACAGTGGCTGAGGAGGGGGGGGGGGGGGAGGGGGGGGGGGGGTGGTAGACCTAGGTGCCCGTAACTTGGAGGTCGGGATAAGAGAGAGAGATGACTGTATACCTATCTAGAGCTGCAGACAGTGGGAAAGTCAGGCAGCTCTTTTACGTCACATCATTCCTGGCCAGTGGGAAAGCCAGGCAGCTCTTTTACGTCACATCATTCCTGGCTGAGAGTGCATTCGAAGCGACGTGAACTGGCAATAGAGCAGCAGAACATCTGAATACCGTGCAGGGGTGTCACAGGACCGTGGAGAGTGGTCTGACCGGGGGTCGGAGGTGGGGGGGGGGGGGGGGGTGGGGGGTTGGGGTGTCTATCTTTGCCAACAAGGTACATTTTAGAGCTCTACAGGTGCTCTGGGCAGACCACCCGGGAGGAAAAATCCTACGACCAAGATCGCACTAGTCATACGGTGTCTCTGTCGTGAATGTGAGCTTGACTGTACATTATATAGCAAGCCAGTCTCGCTAACATGTACTATGGTGTGCAATAGAACATAGGTTTTCATATCCAGGACAATGGTAGAGAGTGTGTTGTAGGATGCGAGGATGGCAGACAAGATCATATCACTTACAGCTGTGTGCGGATGTACGGATATGACCGGGTCTGCACTGACACCGGTCTTCATTTCGTACGGCCACCAAGTTGTCGCTGCCGTTGCAGTACCCTGCAACATTAAACACAGAAACACATTACACTGTAACACTGAACACAGAAACACATTGCACTCAATAGCAATAAACATGTTACACAGCAGGAAAAATACAATTCTTAGTAATCCAGCGGCTATGAATAAGAGTGACAAGACTAAGACATGGCAAATCAAGGCAAACATAGAGCATAGCTTTGGGGGTAGAACAGTGTTCAGGCATAATTCAAGCAAAAGTGCTGCTTATCATATGGGCTACGTCGTGCCAAGTACACCTTACAGTCTGTTCGAATAAGTACTTTGCTGGACTCAATAAGACTTTCTTCGTTTGTTAACTGTGACACAACAACTTGCGAGTTTGCCCAGTTTTTTCATTGCTAAACCCTGAGCAAAAATTGGTCCCACACATACATAGAGTATCACTTGAGAGTAACTCCGCAGGAAACTTACGAGACACGCAAACGGTTGGCCTGGCTGCGGTGCAGGAGTCTCGAAGTACTGCCGACCTTGATGGCGAAAACACCTCGCACTCAGCTGACCCGTTCGTGCCGCTGGTGTAGAGGGGTATGGTGGTGGCGTTGTTGTCTCTCAGCCCCTGAGACGAATTCAGGAGCTGAGAGACGCAGCTGAGCTGCTGCATGTTTGTGGACAACAGCCAACCACCATACCGTTGGCGACACGTCCGGTTTGCATCGTCAGCTGAGAACGAGATGCTGTGATACGTCAATTTGTACGATCCGCACACTGTTGATGGTTCCATATTGGCTACACGGCAATATAACAGGAGACAAAATACGATCATGTCATGTTTACGCACTTCACTTTAACCGTTTGAAAGCCGCCCATACTGGAATGCGCATAAAAGAATGATTTCTTATGAGAGTGTCATCATACATGTTGCACCCAGTGACAGTTCAATTTATCACAGGTGACAATCACTGTTCCCCGTTCTCTGCAGATAGAAGTAAATTTCAGTGGCTAGGTAGAAACAGCTACCAAATGCAAAACACTATTTTGACTCGGCGCCCTCAAGAATGAATGTACTGAAATTGATGTTTGGCCAATTTTATAATTTCAACCTGTAATGATTTTTCAAAGAAGTGTCAGCACCGAGTTAAGTAAAACCAATTTTGTAACCGGACATTTTCATTCCCTTCTCATCTCGGGTGGTTACTGTTACAGGGAATAGTGAACAAATGTCAAACACAGCAACTTATGAAAAGGCGACCCGGAGATAATAACTTTATTATAGCAATACAAAAGTTTTAAATCAGTATTAGTGAAGCGGACATTACGCAAAGAACAGAGAGAATTTGGTGAATAAATTGTCCTGATCGATTTTCTTGGGAATATCATCATAGAAAAGTCGTTTCACAACAGAAGCTATGCAGGGGAACAAAACAACTTATACGTCCAGGGGAGAGTGCGAAGTCCAAACGTGATCTTCACTAATACTATTAATCGCTACAGCAACTTAAAGACCTCAAGCAAAAGAATAGATCCTCAATAATTTACTGTATTGGTACAAACCATAAAATTATCTTACCCTTATTGCGGCCGCAGACGACTCTATAGACGGTTATGCACTGTGTGTCCTCCGGCGGTGAATCAAGTCTAGGAAACGCCAACGTGCAATTGTCGGGATGGCCTCTGACGTCAATGACACTATCCGACAATTGCAAGTTATTTGCCACATCACGGTAGTGAAGTCCATCCAGCAATCTGGTGTAGCTGGTATGGACTTCTGCAAGATCAAGCAACGACAGTAAACTTGACTTGCATGCCGTGATCTGGGGGAAGCTGACGAGATGGCTGCCTTGACGTTGGCAGAACTGCTCGCCAGCAACCCACGTTTCCTGGTTGTTGGTGACATAAACTTCATCACCGCCGTCTCCACAACGAAGCCACGTGTTGACTGCAATAGCACAGGGAGAAAATGAATTATTGTGATAAGTGAGTACTGATCGTTCATCTTTACAGTATGTACAATAACCACAGTGGGTTAATGATGAAGTTAAGGCTAAAATCAAAATTTCACCAGTTGTAGTCTTCGGAGTGCTGAGTCAATGGTCGTGGTCCGAGGAAGCTGAGATGCTCCCTTCCCACTTTAATCCCAATTGAACTCACGCACTTCCACCGAAACTGGGTGACTACGCCCTACTAGATGGGGATTTGTATGCAAAATGTCCCTAAAAGCGCCATTTCGTTCTTATAAAAGCACGGATGACCGCGATTGGCCCAGAATTATGTTGTAGTCTTTTGGACACTGAGTCGACTGGTTTTGGTCCGAAAAGGCTGCAATGCTGCGTTCCTCCTTTATTCTCAATCGAGCATGGTTGAACAAGCGGTCACGTGATCCTGCGTACACCAGTCACCTGGTCACCGTGCCTGCAGGGTACAACATACTAGCCTGTTTGACCTTTTTTGGGTGCAGTCCTGTCACTCGAGTTAAAATCGAGTTGAACCTTGGTGTGAAAGTTGTCGCCTGCTGGCGTGGTGACCAGGTGATTTGGGCACCCAGGAGCACGTGACCGCTTGTTCAACCACGTTCGATTGGGAATAAGGGCCGAACGCTGCATCGCAGCCTTTTCGGACCAAAACCAGTCGACCCAGCGTCCAAAAGACTACAACATATGGGCCAATCGCGGTCATCCGTGCTTTTATAAGAACGAAATGGCGCTTTTAGTGACATTTTGCATACAAATCCCCATCTAGTAGGGCGCAGTCACCCAGTTTTGGTGGAAGTGCGCGAGTTCGATTGGGATTCAAGTAGGAAGGGAGCGTCTCAGGTTTCTTGGACCAAGGCCATTCGACTCAGCACCCCGAAGACTACAACTGGTGAAATTTTGATTTTTGCCTAAGCTTCCCCTTTAACGCTAAGACTGTGAGTGAGTAAGGGACCCAGTGCTCCGGTCCAAGTCATTCAACCGGATTTCAATGTCCACAAAATCATAATCACGACACAACTTTCATTTTTCACTTTCCTTCGGGTTGTTGGTTCAACATTGGACATGTGTAGGGTTTTCCAACATTGGACATGTGTAAGGTTTTCCAACATTGGACATGTGTAAGGTTTCCAACATTGGACATTCAATTTATTCACTGTTTTTAAACTGTTATTTTCTTCAGTTTGTGTTGCTCAGTAAGGCATACAGGAAATACTGTAGTAGATATTTGAATCCGTTGAGAAGTCCAGCGGTCACTGAGCCTTACAGTGCATGTACACGTTAAAAGCTGTAAGGGCGCGGTCACACCAAAACTGTCTGAAACGTGGACAGCTGAAACGCGGACTGGAGCAGTGGCGGTCTGCATGCTCACTACATGGTCACACCAACATGCGCTGACGGGTGGAATGGTTTTGCGCGGGTAAGATAAACTAGTTACTAGTGATTTCCTTCGTTGGCCATGCACAGCCTCTCGTCTGTTGCAAGTTTGGACTACTCTTCGTCCGTATTATTTCTGTGTGTTTGACTTGTTTGCTGCGATGAATTTGATACGCAAACAATGCTTGGCAATTGCCTTTGCTTTGGTCACTGAGCCCATGCTCAGGATCGAACGGAAGGCTGAAGAAAATAATCAAGCAAACATACAGGGCTACTGCAAACTCGATCGAAGAACACAGATTGAACGGAAGGCTGAAGGAAATAATCAAGCAAACAAAATTTAATAGTCTATCCTGCTCTGCTCGCCCGCTTTCCTTGGTCGAAACCAAAAATCAGTAGACAGCAATGAAATTCCTACTGATATTCCCACCCTCAAACAATGCAGAACTCAAGAAAAAATCCACGTCCTGGCGTCCCGGTGGAATTCAGCCGGCCAATTGCTGGTCACCGGTACTGTTCACGGTTTATTTGGAAGCAGCCCTACGAATGGTACGTGACCGACAGCCCGACCATCAGCAGACAACATTCTACCTGAAGAAACAGCTTACGCCGATGACGTAGACTTCATCTCCACATCAAAATCATTCCTTACCAGCGCCCTACCCGTCATCGCAGGCGTCTTCTCCGAATGGGGTCTTACCGTCAATACCAGTAAGACTGAGTGGATCCGTATTTACCTGGAACCCACTTTGGGAGATGCCACCTCTACAACATCTAGAAAGGTCGGCACAACTCGTGGTAAAGAAGCTTGGCGACAGGTGAAGACACTCGGCTCGCTATACGGCTCCGGGGAGGACGTAACGCGCCGTATTGGCTTGGCCGCAAGAGCATTTGGAGACACTCTGAAGTTATGGTTCAAACACAACCTGCTTTCTACACCCATCAAAATTCGTTTATACAACACTTTCGTTCTGCCAATCTTGACCTACAACCTTGCTTGCCATGGCCTGTCCCGTGCACAAGAAAAGCGCCTAGATGTGTTTCATAGGAAACAGCTGCGGTGTACCCTTGGAATTACCTACCCAGATGTCATCTCGAATGCAGATTTATATGCTGTTACTGGCCAGTGCTCTGTATCTGAAATGGCCAAGCGGGACAGGTGGAAGCTATTAGGACATATATTACGCCAGCCAAGTGACATCCCTGCGAATGTTGCTCTCACTGCTTTCTGTACATATGCTACCAGTCAGCCCTTTCGAATAGGTGCACCCCGCTCTTGCCTCACCACAAGTCTCCAGCGAGACGTCCGCCTCACACCTATCTGCATTTTTAAGCCCAGCTGCCTTCGTGATCTCGGCACCTATGCCCGCGACAGAAAACAATGGAGTAACATCTGCTCAGCCATTTAGTCGAGTACTGCTCTTCTTAAATTTGACCTTATTACAAGACTTCTTTTCTTTTTCATTTTGTTCTCCCACTCTCACACACACATGCTCACGGTTAATTCTGCCGTCGTGAGTCCCATTCGGGACGGATACGAGAATAATAATAATAATAATAAATTGCTGGCTGAATTCCGCCAGCGGAAAGTGTTCGCCGTTCCGCGATTTCCATGGAAACCGCCGACAAATTCTGCACGGAATGGTGGAATTTTGCTCGGTTTGACCGCGGCCTAAGTGCGCGCCTCCCCCCCCCCCCCCCCTCCCCCCCGGACAACCCTTTTGATTTCGATATCCACGCCTGTAGAATGGTCTGTAGAGTAAGACTCCTACTGTTTGCGGCGCAAAGCTGACGGAAATTTTAAAGATTCTCCCACTTTCCGTGAGGGTATATGTACGCACGCTAGAAATGGACGTTTGAATGAACTAGTTACGATGTAACGCCATCTTACCGAGTATATAAGTTGTCCCACTGATGGCCTAGCGCAACTGTGCCAGCATTTAACATGACCAGGCCCCGGCCAGCAACAGCTACATTTTAAAGTGGTCAGAAAAAATAATCATCCACTTGACGAAGCGGCAGCGACTTTGACCACTACATATTGTACTATATCAAGCGCAGAATTCTGACTACTGATAGTGCTACTTGACACACGTACACCGGGTCCTTCCACTTCACCAGCGACCATAGACTACTACTACTACTAGTACTTATCCCCCAGAAGTAGCTCGGTAACGGTGGCTGGTTAGGCTGGGGCGAAAACAAGCTTGATTTGGGGACCTGATACAAAGACTAGAAGCTGACACAGTACAGACTCAGTGGCCGGCTGCGTTTCTTTGCCAACTCAAAAATCAAAGCTCAAACTCAAACTTCAAAGTAATCAAAGTCAAACAAAGCCAGAGCGAAGCCAGCGCTACATTGTTCCCATGACAATAAAATGGCAACTGATGAATCGTTTCCATACCAATAACAAAATGCGATAACAAAATCACACCCACTCGCCACGCGGCGGTCAGCTCTAGCTCCAGACTGAAGTACATCTACATGTACATAAAAAAATTCCTGTGCTCTCACATTAATAATAATAATATTCGCGGGATTCGCGTCGGAAACACACAAACTAGCCTTCGCATCCGCAGGCCACCACCATGAGTCATGACCACTATGCTGTCCCTCCAGCAATCCGCGGACAGAAAGTTGAAATTCTGCGCAGAATTCTGCGGCACAAATCGCTACATTTTGCGGCGGATAGCGTGAATTCTGCGGTATTTCTGCGGCGCTGCACCGGCGAAAAGACATGGCTATTATGCTATGTACAAGTATCACTAAAAAAATTAGTGGTCGAAAACACACGATAGGCTCAAGACAATACAGTAACGAAGAAAACTGGTACAGTTGCTGTACTGTCCATTGCACCTGCACACCAAATGGCCTGGGTTTCTGTGTAAAATTGCAAAACTTTGAATGCAACAAAATAGCGACAGGACACTGCACTGTGCATGTGCACGAATATGAAGCGCGTGCTCGCATTGCCCCCAAACCGTGATTTTTCACGATTCTGCGGTGAAAACTGTGAATTCCGCGGGATACTGAAAAAACATGAATTCCGCGGAATTCCGCGGATTTTACCGCGGCCGCGGAATCGCGGATTCCTGGAGGGACAGACTATGCCTGTTAACCTTAGTGGCTAATGCAGACCTCGCATTAGCGCAACTAACCGCGCGCCACACATTAGCGCCTCCAAATGGCACTTGTCCATAAATCGCGCAGGCTCATTGGAGCATCACTTTTGACAGCGATGTCCCAATGTAGCGCCACCTTTTTGATGTTTCACTAAGTACAGCGCTACTCTTGAGACAGTACGCTAAACACCGCGCTTTATCACGCTTTATAATACTGTGGTTCATTCTATGGAGGTCATTCTTTGCCGGACAATCCTTCAAAGTTACTATGGCTCTACCGTGCAAAACAACGAAAGGTGGGGAAGGCGCTTCGTGCAGCGGCTATATCTATAGAAAGGACAAACGGAAGAGAGACGGGACCATCACGTGGTGGTGTACTGAAGCTACTTGCAGAGGGAGGCTAATGACAACGGACGTGTTGCTGGAAGACGAAGAAGACTCGTCCCCGGAAGAAGTGGGAGAGCACCATCACCCTCCAAATCCTGAGGCAACTCAAGTCCGTGGGATAGTGACAAGAATGAAACAAAGACCCAGACAGGAATTCCTTTCTATTCTTTCTAGTTACCAGGAAGAGACAGCGAACATCGCCCCAAATGTTCATTCACTGGACGCCAGCCTCTATAGATGTAGGAGAGAACGCTATCCGCCTTTGTCGCAGACCAGGGCAGCCATAGTCGTGGCAGGCAGTTTCCGCAACACTGTAAACGGCGAAAGATTCTTCCTTGCTGGCTTGAATGGCAACGACACCACACTGGTGTTTGTGTCGGATGCAGATTTGGGTTTGGGATTGTGGAACAGTGAAGAGTGGTTTATCGACAGTACCTTCAAAGTAGCGCCCCTCCTCTTCATGCAACTCGTAACAATCCATTGCATGAGCGGAAACAAATGCCTACCCTTCGTTTATGCTCTTCTTTCAAGGTAGACTAGGCAAGCTTACACTGATTTACTTCGGTGTTTATAAGATACAGCTAATGAACGTGGCCTTGTGCTGCAGCTCATGTATGCTGCGCAATAAAAGTTGCGATGAAGTGAGGCCACATGTATTTTTTGTACATTTACCGGTGCATGTCATTCTAAACTCTGTTGTACTGATCTGAGCGCGTGAGTAATTTTCTGTGGAGGTCTTGTTGTCCGCTATCGCCGAGCCTAGTAATATTAGGCTTGCATGAAGAATGACCACGGCGGGGCGCGACTACTTGTACAATTTCAGACAGTCTGAAATGGCGACCATAGACATGGCACGCACCACGGGGGTGATGTCAAAGGTTTTGTTCCCATTCAGTCTTGGGTTTGGCTTATTCTCACACAATAAAAGGGAGTGCGACCACTGAGAGTATTGACCGACCAAGCTATCCACCTCTCGCCCTAGTCACTGCCGGTGTCCACGATCACCTCCGTGGTTTTCCAAAGAATGATATTTTCCAAACCTCAGCGGGATTGGTCAAATACAAGTACAAGTACACGTACCGTACATGACAGACTGTCAGACTATTTTTTTATTTACAGCCAGTGTCTGGTCGCAAACCGGATCAGCCATGTCAGCGACACGCTTGGGGGTACTTGGACCAGCTTGGAAGAAGAACACCCGGGTTAGTCAATCAGGGAGACCTACCGGTACGATTCCCTGATGTACAGTAGCCGTACTTGAATGTACAAGAACCCGGGACTGATCGGGTTGCAAGAGTTGCGCCAAGTGCACGTGTACCCGTTTGGTTTGAAATCCTAGAGCCGAGGAGGCATGTAGCTGGTTCACTGTCTGGTGGTCTTGGCTCTGTTACGTAACTCGTTACGTTCTTCTCTACACCATACTCTATACTACGTCTGTGACCTAGTCATTACTGGACGAGAACGTGCTCAGCTCACTCGTTCACCGAAGCAATCCATCCCAAGTCCACTCACGCTTATTGTTTTACAACATGTGTATTACACTCTAGAGCTACCGGAGACCACGTACCGGCTAATGTCGTTATCCCATTGCTACGCCTATGTATAATATGCCTGTGCCTAGTATTCCTGTAGACCTATGAAGACTATCAGATTATTGTAGTCCTGCAGACTGAGTGCAGTATTCGACTGGGACTCTGTACACTGACTGACTGACTGACTGACTGCACTGACTGCAGTGTACACTGACTGACTGTCTGCACTGACTGCACTGACTGACTGTCTGCACTGACTGACTGCAGTGTAGAATGTATCACTATACTAGTCTACAGACAGTCCAGAGGCAGAGGCACGGAGAGACACTTGTCAGCGACACGCTATCGTGTGTCACCATTGGCACGTCTGGAGCAAATAATTATTGTAGACCTACACGGCTACAGACTCAGTGTATCTGTGACGTGTGATGCACATCATGACTGTACAATCATGTGCACTCATAATAATTATCAGACATTCTCTCTCTCCAGCTCTCCTCCTGACGTCGATGCAATAATTATTATTTTACGGAGCCAACACGAGTGATTGCTTGGACACTACGACTGTGTGCTTGCATGTACAGCGTGCACATAGTCATAGGATCCGTCTAGCTCTGCGATCGCGACATGAAGCCTGAGTGGAGCTAGATGAAGTGTCGAGTCACAGACAATGCCAGTGTCAGTGCATGTCCTACCTGTACGTGTACACATGTCCGCGCGTGTCGAGACGTATTCCCTTTGACAGATGCCAGAAGATAGACTACACAACCTGACACAACATGACAGGCTCAGGAGGGTGCTTGACAACTCAAGGTCAGAGGATACGCGCCATGACAGGGCAACGCGTGTCCTGCTAAATCGGACACAGGGGACTATCGTAAAGTAACCGTGAACTGTTAGAGAACAGTAGAAACGTGCACGTTCCGTTCCTTAGTGTCACGCTCTAGACAATACAGTACAACACCGTAACAACAACAACAACAACAACAATACAACTTTACAAGCACGAGAGCCAGAGTATCAGCTTCTGCGTAGAGCACTGTCCTGGACATGGAAGTACAGTCGGAGGACCGGTGCCCGCGCCCTCAGTGCCTACAGAACGTAGCATGCAGTGCGCGTGCACACGTTGATCGTAGTGCACAATGTACTACCGCCAAGTGCCAGCGCCCTCGCCCTGGGACCGCTTGGCAACAGGGGTTTGCCACGACAGTACAGTAGGTGTACTACTACTAGTCAGTAGTTCCTGTAGTGACTGAAGTTCTACTCTAGTAGTACTACTAGTACTACTTCCAGTATCCCACTTCCCAGCATGCAGTAGGCCTACTTGTACACACAGCGTCCAACGACGTTACCATGGTTACGTCTGTAGACCATGCTACTAGTACTAGTACGTACAGCACAGTCCTGTGAAGTCCCAAAATCAGCAGCAAACACAATGGCCATTGTCTCACACAACGCAGTGCTCTATGAGTATGAGTCACATCGCTACTCTACGTGGAATGAAACCAGAGGGCTCATAACGGGTGATATCTTGATGGTGCCAGCAGCTATGGAGGACAAATAGCTTACTGACCTTGTAGTGCTAAGACACTGTTCCTATGATACATGCTGCTGTAACACACATCCGACCTATTTTTCATTACGTACCATCGCATCTCCGGTAATCGTCCAATTCTCATCACTCTCCCCCCCCCTCTCATACGTGTAATAGTTATCTAGGTGGTATACCTGGTATCCGCAAGGGGACGAGCTCTGTGAAACAGGAGGTCTCTAACATATCTTACCACTATCCGCAGAATCCACTAGGGGCTGGTTATCTCTACTGTTACCGCATACCCCAAATATCCCACCTCTTATTCGCACAGGTTTTGTCCTAAGAATACCATGAATGTTAACGTTCGATTCCGCGACACCTTACCTACACGGAGGGATACTGCTCGCTCGCATGGGTGCCATTCCTCTTCGACATGGATGAACTCTGCTCTGGGTGGATGCGGCTCGCTGATCTGCTTCATTTTCTAAGCCCCGCTCGATCCCGCCGCGTTCAAAGTACTAAAATGCACACCGTCATCTACGCAAACATTCACTCTTGTCAGAACTGTACTTCTGGTGTAGTACGTTAAGTGGATACCAGCACACTGCCTGAGAAGACTACTGGCAAACAAGTGGTCAAGATCGTGCTAGCTAGTCGCTTTGAACTTGCAGAAACAAAGTTACGGACCAAAGCGGACATGCACGCTATGCACAATGCCTATAACAATTACCGATCTACTGATTCTGCCCGACAGACCAGGCTCCATAAGTATTTAATGCTGCATCGAATACGCCGACGTCAAGGGCAAGGACTATGCTGTCACGCTCACGGCTTGTGATGCAGGCAGTCAAGGCGCAATCAAACCAATGGACAATTTGTCACGCTTATCATTACACTTTGTCACTGGTCTGTGGTGGGGCCAGTTTGAAATCTGGCGAAAAAGGCAATTAGCTACCCGGCCCAGTGCTGTCCGGAATCACGTTGTCCATCATGAAGTTGTCTCGCATGTCTGACGCCAAGCAGAGGTGTCTAGAGGATCGCGATCACAGAGATCACAGAGTCACTACCCTGGACTAGTCATCATCAGCTGTACCAATCGATGCCAGTGCACTAGTCTACAGAAACAAGTCAACGTCTCACGTCATGTGAGAATGCTGTGCTATCCTGAACTGGCGGGGATCTGGCTGTTGTACGGTTTCTCCAAGCCCGCTGTGGTGTAACCATATCCAGTTTACGATAGTACTGATGGCAGCAGTTACGACGAGGAACTTACAGTTCACGGGTAGTTACGACGACTAACTCACAGTTCACGGCCTTAACGATAACTATAACTTTGGACTATTGACGATAGATCACGTCCGCTTGAATGAGCATGCAGGTAATCCTTTATCCTCAAGAGGCATGCCAACAAATCCAACGTTAACCCTCACGCAAATACATGTAGTTAGTGCAGACGTATGCCATTGTGCTGAGAAGGGTTCTTTGTTACGGTTGTGTTGGGTTAAACTATTCAATAGTAGGTGGTAATGATTGTGACTGGGCTAAGCTTGCTCGTGAAAGAAGCTTTCTCCAACAAAGATACTACAATATCTGTTCTTGGGACAAATATTCCCCCGAAGCTAGGCTTTCTGTGCCTTGGTTGCTTATTGACACAAAATTTTCAATCGCTGGCTCAAACCTGACATTTCTGGATTAAGATTAATGCAATAATGGCACCTTCAAGACAAAAATCAATATCCCAGCAGTGCCAATCTGATATATCTATATCATTTTTACAGCATCTAGTTCGGATCATGTTCATGTAAGGAGTTTAGCTGGGGCCAGAACCGTCAGCGAAGTGTTCCACTTCGTACTCACTATCTCTCTCTCTCTCTCTTCCTGTTGGTCTGTCTCTCTCTCTGGCTCGGTCCCCTGTCTCTATATTTGTGCCTCACACTCTATATCTGTTTATCTTTCTCTCTATCTCTCTCTACCTATCTATCTCTCTCTCTCTACCTATCTATCTACATGTATTTATCGATCTATCCCTTCCGCTCACCTCCCAGTAAAAGGTGGCCGGACTAAATAGCTAAGAACACTTGTTTCATGACTTCGTTTTAGCGAAATCTCTGCATGGCTAAACTATGACGCAAAGCGTTATGGAATTCTACACATACATGTACATGTTATGTACATGTTATGTTATGTCATTGATCACTATTGGGACGACCAATCAGTTTAGCGTTACCATGGGCACAATGAATCTAGCAGCACGAGGCATCATGCGGGAGCTCTGGGGTCTGGTGGTGCTTAGTCACGTGATGAGGCTCAAACCTTAGTACTAGTAGTAGTACTAGGTACTCCTGTTACGTGCTCTGCACAGTCGATTGTGATATGCGCGCATGCCATGGACTAGAGTTGGCTTTTGCACGGATATGAAGCCATGCGACCACGGGTTTCCTACTTGCACTAGGAATGCTCATCTCTTCAGACACGCAAGAAACCACACAATCACACTTGACGTGACGTGCACTTCGCAAAAGTGGCAAGTCTGCCTCATGATAGCTCACTACCATCCCAAGTCTTTCCTGGACGTCATAATTGCGAGCAATTGAACTCTGCACCCCTTCAAAGGCACGACGCAACACCGATAATTTCGACGAAAAATCGGCTCTAGATCGAATTTCAGCTACATATACATCGCATATCGCCTAAAGCAACTAAAGCGTTTCCACTCCCCCCCCTTTTCCACGCAGAAAAACGCAAGATCTCTATCACGGCACGGCACAGAGCTGCTACTAGTATACTGTTCAACACAAGCTAGTCGTCGTAAGATCAAATCTCAACTGTACGATACTAAGTCTTGTACTTCTATGCATATAACACAGCTACTAAGTCGAAATAGCGCGAAATGATCAAATCATGAACCTAGCTAGCTCCCTTCCACACTTCCAATCGATCTGTATAAATTGCCGAGCAAAAAAAAGTCGAGCTCCGCTCAAAGCTCTAGTGCAGTAGTGGAGTTTTTGATAGGCACAAGCACTTCTATGTACGCAGGCATGCACACATTAGATGGTCGTGACTTACGTTCTTGTCCGCGGCTCTCCGAGGTGAAAAGGAGGATGAGGACAGAAGCCAGTGCAAGCACGGACATAACAACTGATCCAGCCTGTAGCACAAACACAGGAAAATTACAAAATATGTCTGCCGCTTTGATGAAGCCTGGAAACAATGTGTATTTGCGTTCAGAAAACATGAAGTTTGTGTGATTATTTCGCGTGAACCATGGTACCAGGTTCTGAGAATAATTTTGAACAGGAACAGTTTTCATTTCCACTCAGCCGTATTACAATTATTATTATCTGATGGTGAACATGCTGCAGGTTTCTTTACCAAGCGCCACCATCCCTGGTCCATGCACTCACAGTGCATGTGTGTGTAGTGCTGAGATGGCCCGCGCGCTACGCCACTCACGAATCTACACTTGCTACCTACCACCTTCCCAGTTTGGCAGGAGCAGATTGGACCAAGACATCATCGTCAAAGCATTACATGGTTAACAAGCATCTCAGGGCGACTGGTTTCGTGTATGTGTGTGCGTTTATGTAGGCACAATACGAAACAGTTAGCTATTGCCCCTGACAAGAATAATGAACATGACAGGCAGTGCGAAGATAAATTAGAATTATTATTTCTTACCATGCTTGTCAATCTGTAACACTATAGAAGATTGTCTTCTTGAGCTGGTCGGCGGAATATAGAATAAGGGAATGCACACAACACACCAACTGTAAGCAATGCACCTCTGCTGTCACGAGCACAACAACAGTGAATGTAAGTTACCTTGTGAAAATTGCATTCTGAAGAGGATGCGTGGGGTAGCGTACCTATTTATTGCCGGGTAACTGTAGCGTAGCACGGCAACCATAGAGATAGCGTGCTTGGGAAACATGTCGAGCGCCGGGACAGCAGAATAACCGTAGGTAGGTAGAGCGGCACGGCTTGCTGATAGAGTGGCGTGCAGGAACCCCTGCTGGAGAAGAGAGTATGGAACTTGTACATTAGCATGTACACGACCCAATGGCTGCAGATTGAAATAAGTATGTGTCGTTGTTGGACCTACCAGCCCCAGGCCAGCTAGCCGGATAACCCGTGCAGGGGAGGGACGATTCGGAGACACGCGGCCAAATTCTGTTTAAACACTCTGGCGCCTTATCCTGCTTTCCAAGCGTTGCCATCGTGTATGTGTGATGTAGGGTGGATCATGAAACTGTATCTAGGGAAAGTGGGACATGCACATGTATGTCACGGTTCTGAGGCTTAGGGCATGAGCTTGATCACTATCCACGGTCACTTAGGATGGTGGGCTGACCGCGTGGTGATATCGTCTGTCATGTTCACAGTCTGCTGGGCAAAGTTGACTTGTGATACCTGCTTTAGGTGTTGTGTCAATGTGTTATGCGTGCGGGAAGGGTGTTTGCATAATGATACAACACCGTGCAAGGCATGGATGGGAGGGAAGTGAGTGTCCCATGCGTTTGTTGCCTTCGGTGTTCATGTGTGTGTGTGTGTCTGTGTGTGTGCGCGCGCGCGGGTGTGTGTTGCAAGAAGTGGTTATCGGTCAACATAGAAAATCAAATGTATCTCCCACAACGTCTTGGGTTTCCACGGATATGAGCGACATGTACTGTACAAACATTGATAGCATAGTTTACCACCTTCCTTTTCTTCTGTATTTCGTCCTTCATTGCCAACAGGCACAGGTTATTAATTCGTACACGACATGGAGACTGTCGCTGGCACTGTCTGTGAAGACAGTAAAACTCGAACGCCCAAGGCACTGGATCACGCCAGTATTGCGAGCAAACCGACATAATAATGGATAGATGATCCCAGTTTCTAAAACACCTCTTCTGATTTGTCCCGCACAATGAGTGTGCCAAAAAAGCGACAGTCGATATCGTACATGTATGAGTGTATGTTGAACAGTTTCAAGAGGGCGCACTGAGAAAAGTGAAAATGGAGAAGGAGGGCCTTGCGTTAGCAAAAGGGGCATGCATCAGGCGCATTTGTGCAGAGACATTGGCAGGTAATCAGCGGAATGACACACAAACACACACACACAATTATCCAATGATTATCTGTGGGATAACGTTGCGTAAACATGCCTCTTATGGATGATATTGGAAGAGATGCACAGAGCGACAGAGAGAAACAGGAACAGGGAGAGAGAAAGAGAGAGTGAGAGAGGGAGCGAGAGAGAGACAGAGAGAGAGAGAGAGAGAGAGAGAGAGAGAGAGAGAGAGAGAGAGAGAAAGAGAAAGGAAAAGAGAGAGCGAGAGAGGAGAGAGAGAGAGAGCGAGAGAGAGAGAGAGAGAGAGAGAGAGAGAGAGAGAGAGAGAAAGAAAAAGAGAGAGCGAGAGAGGAGACAGGGAGCGAGAGAGAGCAAGAGAGGAGAGAGAGAGAGACAGAGAGAGAGAGGGAGAGAGAGAGAGAGAGAGAGAGAGAGAGAGAGAGAGAGAGACAGAGAGACAGAGACAGAGAGAGAGAGAGAGAGAGAGAGAGAGAGAGAGAGACAGAGAGAGAGAGAAAGAAAAAGAGAGAGAGAGATAGGAGAGACAGAGAGCGAGAGAGAGCAAGAGGGGACAGAGAGAGAGAGAGAGAGAGAGAGAGAGAGAGAGAGAGAGAGAGAGAGAGAGAGAGAGAGAGAGAGACAGGGAGAGAGAGAGAGACATGGAGAGAGAGAGTGAGAGAGACAGATACATGGAGAGAGAGAGAGGAAGCGAGCGAAA